CTCTGGAACCCAGTGAGGCCCCAGTCTCACTCTCGGAGGCTCTAATTTAATTGGTGGCTGGGGAACCTTGGAGCAGCAGTGGCAGTTTGCTTTTTTATTATTATTACTTTTTTATATAGAACGCTTCATTAATTTGCGTGTCATCCTTGTGCAGGGGCCATGCTAATCTTCTCTGTATCGTTCCTTTTTTTTTTTAGTGTATGTGCTGCCGAAGCGAGCCCTGTTTGCTTTTTTTAAGCCGCAGAGGTGATTCTGATGTGTTTGTGACTCGCTGGTATAAAGGTGGGGGAGGACAGCAGGATCTCAGCACAGGTGCAAAATCCTAAGATGGCGTGTTGAGATAGAAGGCGGATTATTAAATGAGATATGTTTGTAATGCTGCCAGGCACAGAGCACTGACAAGTGCTCCTGGCGGAGACTGAACAGACAATGAGCTTTCCTCCGGCCCAGGAGCAGTTTTTGGACTTTGTAAGTAAATTCAGGGCCTCTTAGACCTGTTAACAGAGCCACGGTGATGAGGGTCACCAGGTGTGGCTGTGCAGGCCGTGCCCTTCCAAGGCTTCTGGGTGAGCTGAGCATGGAATCCAGCCCCGGGTCTCTACCCAAACCCTGACGTGGCCTCCACCTTGAAACGCAGGCAAAGATACCAGAATGCCAGTGGCCTGCCACGAGGACCTGTGTCAGAAGCTGCCCACTGCCTCTTCCCAGATTTTACAGAGTGCTCCGTAAGGCCAATGTGACCTTCAGATAAGAGGCTTCATTCCTGTTAAAAATAAGGGGAGAGAGGCATGCGAGGAAGCCTGTGCTTCTCCGAGTCGCTCTCTTCCGGGCTCGGTGCGGTGATCGGCTTGGCCCGTGGAAATTAACGAGAACTTGCCCGCCAGAAAAACATGAAGAAATCCCAGGAAATTAGCAAGGGAAAAAGAAAAGAGGATAGCTTGACTACCTCTCAGAGAAAACAGACTCTGAGATCATGCAACAAAAGCGGAAAGCAGCTCATGAGAAGAAGTCCATGCAGACAAGAGAAAAATGATGACTGACAATTGGGAAAACCTGGGTGCTACTGCCAACTAGGTGTATTATAAGCTTTATGATCTAGATTTTGTAGAGTGAACAATGTCATTACATATGTTACAACATATCTTTATAAAAACTATTTTAAACTTTACCTTTCAGACGGAATTAGTGTAATGTTTCAGAACCATTCTTCAAAGAATGAAACACTAACCATGCATGTGGAAAAAAAATAATAATACTCTTTGTAATAATTTAAGCAATAAAAAAAATACTAAAAATAAATAAATAAATAAATAAATAATTAAGGGAAGAGATTTACTCCCCTGCCCTTCTTGCCAGAATATCTACCTTAGAAAACTTATAAATACAAGTATTTTCTCAGTCTCGTTGAAATGTATCTTTTTAGAAACTAAATAAGCCCTGTCAGCTTTATGTAAAAACAGGAATGTCCTTCTCCACGACCTGGGAGCCATCTCTTTGCAATACGAGCATCGGGAGGTGGCACCGCTCCCCGTGTCTGTGGGACACAGGAGGCTAGCTCCAGGTTGTAATAGTACTTCCTGTCATAGAGAGAGTTTGTCCCCCCACCCTCTGGATGATTAGTTCATGTAGGTGCTCACCCCAGTTACCAGGTTGTGTTAGGAAGAACTGTGTGTAACTATTGGTACTGTCGCGTTCTCTCAGTTAATAACTAGTTATTGTTTATCTTGAGGACTTATATGCAATAGGTTGCATCTGTTTGGCTCTAGAAAGGGTTGAGAGCTCTGTCTTTGCAATCAACCTCTTGGCCAAGTGCCTGCGGGAAGCATCACTCCGATTTAATGCTCAGTGGATAAAACAGTGTTTTCTTCTGCTGTTACCTTTGTGGAGAGGATTTCTAGGCTGAAAGATTTGTGTTTTTTAAAAAATTATATTTTTACAGCAGCACCTTCATCCTTCATTCTGAAGTTACTGTTTCTTTTTTACACACACTTTCCAGATCCATGGGGAGAAGTATTTTAGGTATATAGGTGGGGTGGGGTTTTTTGTTATATATTTTTTAAATCCTTGCCTGAGGATGTGTTTTAATTGATTTTAGAGAGAGGAAGGGAAAGAGAAACATTGATGTGAGAAACATCAGTTGGTTGCCTTTTGTATTGGCCCCGACCGGGTTTTGAACCCACAGCCTAGGTATGTGCCCTGACCAGGAAGCAAACCCACAACCTTTCGGTGTAAGGTCCAGAGTCCAACTAACTGAGCCACCCGGCCAGGGCAAGGCATATAGATGTTTTTGTTATAAACCTCCTCCCTTCTACCCAGCTTCTAACATAAAAGTTAAAGTAATTGGAAATAGTGATGTTGCAAGAAGTTGAGGCTATGATTGTAGTTTTTTGGCTTGTAGTTGAGTAATTACATGCCAGTCTGTCGTGTTGAATAAGAAATATGAGTTAATGATTCCATTTCTTTAACAGAAAAAAGAAAAAGTTGTTTGGTTTTTAATTTTGTATACACATTTTGTGACAGATAGAAATTAATTTTATCATCCAATAATCTGTTCATCTATCTCTAGTCTAAATGGTTTCCTTCATTACTTTTCATTGTAAAAAACATATCAAAGTAATACATATTCATAGTTATATATCAAAGTAATACATATACATAGGTTTTTTTAAAGGCCAAATAATTCTACGTAGCTTATAATGAAAAACAGCAGGGACTTATCAGCATTTCAGCATCAGGACTTGATCAGAGAAACAGAACACTAGCAATGATATAGAATAGTGGTTCTCAACCTTCTGGCCCTTTAAATGCAGTTCCTCATGTTGTGACCCAACCATAAAATTATTTTCGTTGCTACTTCATAACTGTAATGTTGCTACTGTTATGAATCGTAATGTAAATATCTGATATGCAGGATGGTCTTAGGCGACCCCTGTGACAGGGTCGTTTGACCCCCAAAGGGGTCGCGACCCACAGGTTTGAGAACCGATGATAGAGAATAAAGGAGCTGTGAGAGAGGTGTTACCTGACACAATTGTGGGAGCCTGTGGAAGAGTCTGTGTAAGGCTTTTGCTTCTGCATCTGGGCCCCAGGCCTAAAATCAGCAGGGCAGGCAGTCTGGAAGGGAAGATAGACTTGAAGTGGGAGAGAGAAAGGACAAACTTGAACCTGCACCAACCTCTCATGCTTGCCAAGCCTCTAACTTGGATGAGGCAGGTGCCCTTCATCACAGAGCTAAACCTTGCCTGGCCCAGGGCTGATGAAGCCAAAAAATGTCACATCTGAGTTATTTCCTAGAATTACTAAGTGAATCTATCAAAGTAAACACCAGAGTTTATTTCCTCAGCATGCTGTTGATCTCCCTTACAAGAGTTTAAGAGCTACTATTTATTAAATGTTCTAAGAATGTACTTATGGAGTAAAAATTGGTGGTCCCACGCCAGTTGGGCAGCCTGCAAACAAACGTGTCTGTGTATATATGCTCACTGTAGGAAAGTTGGAAAATACTGAAAAGTATAGAGAAAACACACACAAAGGCACAATAACTTAGGCATTCCTTATTTCTCCCTGGAGCTGACCTCTTGGTTTATATTTTTGGGGTATAGGAGATACACCTTCCTACAAAAGGTATGGTTCACACATTTGGTATGAAGTAAGAACAGTTCCTAAAATATGCCCAGGGTGGCAAAACGAAATCCACAAAATGCCCCTCCCTTTTCTGGTCCATGACAGAATATCATTCTGAGTATGTGCAACATGTCTATGTATCTATGTACACACACATGTAAAACAACTATATGTATTTTTATCCCAGTGCCCTTATGCTTCCACTTACTTATGGCTGAGATGCAACTGTGTTTCAGACTTCTCTATGGAAAACAGTCCTGGAAAGCCTTTCAAAGCCAAGAACCTGAATGGTTTGGGATAATCTTTTCAGCTACTCACGTTAAGATTTATTTGTGTAAGAGCATTAAAGATCATCTTAAGAACCTCCTGTTAAAACAATATTAAAACAATCTAATACTAATGTAGAATATAACAATTTGAAATTCCAATTGAAGTGGCTGTTCACAAGAGAATTTGAAGTTTAAGCCAAAGTTACGATGAATTAGTATTAAGTATCAATAGCCATCTTAAAACACACCATCTCTGCCCCCAGGAAACACAGGGGTGGGGGTGGGGCCAACAGAAGAAATTTAAATGCAATATAACAGAATAAAATAGAGATTGATTTAAAGGAGCCATGGGAATCTGGAAGGTCCCATGGAGAGACAGAGTTGAGGGCCCTAAGTGAGCCACAATAGGTGGTAACAAGGTTATCAGAATTTTGCATGGTATCCATGTTCCTGAAAAAGGAACAGTTCAGTAGGCTGGATAGGATCTAAGCTGCAAGATGCTGCATGGTTCTTCAGACTTGTTTGTGCTATTTTATAGATGCAATAAAAACCATGAATTGATTCGGGATATGGGGGAGAAAAGAAGAAAAGCCCTTGTTGTGTGGTGGAGTTGGAGAAAACAGTATGAACAAGAACTCAGAGTCAGGAAAATGAGGAGAGTGTCCAGGGAACATTTCAGTGGTGGTAAGAAGGGGGAGACCAGGTTGGGACTAGACTGGGGCAGGCCTTTGACAACAGGAAAATAGGTATGAATCTACCCTGTAAGCAATGGGAGACATCGGTGTTTGTTGAGGAAGAAAGTAAAAATTCAACCTATTTTAAAAGATGCTGCAACAAAAAAATAAAATAAATGATACTACAAGTATTTATATATTTATAAAGTCAGTATATACTCTGGTTTTAAAATATTTCCTGATTTTAATAAATATCTTGCATTAAGTGTTCATTTTATCAGTCAGCCACTTTGATTTTCTTAAAATCTATTATATATTGATGAGGAAGCTGTCCCTCCAACTTATGAATACTACAACACTGCTGTTTTCTGTGTATACCATTTTTGATAGAAAGCCCTATTTAATTGTTTAAATGAAATAAACCAAAAGTAAATACATTGCAAAAATACATTTTAATACATTGTGGAAAATACATAGTGAAAAATACATGGTATTAAAATGTGTTTTTTAAAATACATTTTAATACATTTAAAATACATTGAACATTAGCATTTAGATAGTTATTTACAATGGTATTTACAATCAATTTTACTATAATTTTTGTGAACAGAAAGATAACTACAGAGAGCTAACTATGGACATAAAACTATCTCCAGCTGCTTCCTTCTAACACACAAACCGTACCTGGGTAGAAAGGGGTAACAGTTAATAGTGCTACATTTCAAAATCATTCTGATTAAATTAGGTCCTGACAAATTCTTCTGGGTTAAAAAATGCTAAGTCAGAAGAGGAGGCAAGTGTGCACAATCTCCACTTCCTCCCATTTTCACAGTGTTGCACCCTGACTTCACTGACTTGCACTTGAAGTAAACCTGTACCTGAATTCTGGGAAATGTCACAAACAACAGGCCTTCTAAATCCAATGTATTGCTTTAAGCCCATTATTATGAGTTTATAGCAGGTGGTTTAACTTTGGGGTAGACTTCTTTAGATATCAATGCTAACGATCTATTAAACCTTTATTTTTAATTACAAAAAATTTAAAAATTTTCAATTATAGTTGACCTATTAATCATTTTTACGATTAATGGCTGTTCTAATGGTCAAGAAAGGACCAAGTGGGGTACCTCAACTGTCAGTGTTTCCTGTGTGCTTTTAGTGAAGTTAACTGTCTGCACTATAAAATCTTATGGTTTGATTGAAAGGCTTGTTTTGACTGGTAACTGATATTAAGATCAACAAAATGATTCTGAATCCCTCTTTGCTACAGAAGAATTAGATGCAAATTTGAACGGCCTGAGCTAATAAAATTATCCACCGATCACTTTCCTTCAGGTTAAAGCAGCCAGCAGTCTGCCATGGCATTTCCTATACAGAAGTTTGTGTAACTTTGTGACAGATAAACCGGTCATAGCTACATTTTATTGCGTTAAGTCCATCAGAAATCCAAACCTTAATTCATATTTTGTCCTTATAGAAAAATACAATCCATTTTATGAGTTTCTATAAATAAATTATGGATAAAAAATAGACACTGTTTCTAATGGTCTCCTTGGGAAGATACCCATGCAGACTGTAACATTTAACTTCAAAATATATTTAATTCTTTTCTATCCTTTTTTGTTTTCCAAGTGACTAGTAATAAATAAACTAATGATTACTATGTGGTAGGGAAAAACTTTTTAGTCATTTTTCCATCTAAGAATTTCATTAAATGAACATGTGGCATATCTTGTAGTAATATGAATAGACAATAACTGGAAATCCAGTTTTACTTTTTAAACTACAAATGGTTGGCAACTGTTTCCTTAATAGTTATTGCAGGAGTAGGTCCAACATGAGTCCATATATAGCCCTTTTCTGGTCTGGTGGGAATTGTGGGAAATGGTGATGAAAGTGACTTGAAATATTCAGAGGGTGCATGACAAACAAACTCCAAGTATTCCATCTTCCTGGGAAGATCCTCCTCTGGTCCTAAAGGCGCCAATGGAAAGGTTAAACACATTTTGAACATGGATATCATTATCATAAAATGTTAAAATACCTAGACACTAGGAGAAACCAGTCTGGTCGTACCTGACGTTAGTCCTTGGAACATATATTACTATGAAGTTACTCATCATTTTTTCTATTTTAACTGCTTAAGGAATATAGCATTCTCCCCAAAACAGTGACTCAATATAGAAAGGAATCTTAAAAAAAAATATTTAGCCTTATACCGTGTTTATTATATATGCCCGCACTGTTCTTAGTACTGAGACATATCAATACATTGAATCCTCGAAAAGCCCTCTGTGGTAGGCACTATTATTATTTCCATTTTACATATGAGGAAAATGAGACAAGGATTAAGGAACTTGCCCAACATCACACAGCTAGTAAGTGTATAGGCTACGAACCCAGACAGTCTGGCCCCCGAGTTTGTGCTCTGGCATCTGAGGAAGAGAAAGAGGTGGGAGAGGAGCTGGAGGAAATTCTGTCATATCACTGCCTCTGCTGACAATCCTATCCAATCGATCAGGTAGAGGCCCGTAATTCGTGCACTTGGGGAGAGGGGAGGACCCGGGGGAAGGGGGTCCCTCAGCCCAGCCTCGGGGAATGTCTGACTGATGGCTTAGGCTTGCTCCCCATGGGGATGTTCATCAGTGGGGCATCCTTAGCGCTTCCATGGAGAAAGGATCGGCTCCCGCCACCACCACTGTGCTCGCCAGCTGTGAGCCCGGCTTCTGGCTGAGTGGTGCTCCCCTATGGGAGTGCACTGACCACCAGGGGGCAGCTCCTGCGTTGAGCATTTGCCCCCTGGTGGTGTGGGCGTCATAGCAACTGGTCATTCTGCCAAAACCGGCTCTCTGACATCCCCCCAAGGGATCCTGGATTGCGAGAGGGGGCAGGCCAGGGTGAGGGACACAACCGGTGCACTATTGGGGCCGAGGAGGAACACTGGAGGTTGGCCAGCCGGGGAGGTATCACGGGAGGGCTCCAGGGTGTGTCCGGCCCGTCTCGCTCAGTCCCGATCAGCCGGACACCAGCAGCAAGCTAACCTACCGGTCGGAGCATCTGCCCACTGGTAGTCAGTGCATGTCATAGCAACTGGTCGACTGGTCAACTGTCTGCCTCCTGGTGGTCAGTGCCCATCATAGCAAGTGGTTGAGCAGCCTCAGCATATCATTAGCATACTAGAGGCCTGATGCACGAAATCTGTGCAAGAGTAGTCCTTCTTTCCCCAGGCTGCTGGCACCTGCTATCCCTCTGGCACCCAAGACCTGAGTTTCCCTCTGGCCGCCAGCAGGCACCCAGGTCCCAGCTTCATCCGGAAGGTCATTTGGGAGGACGTCCAGTCTAATTAGCATATTACACTTATATCATTATAGATTACGCTTTGATTGGTTGAATGGCTGACGGGACACTTAGCATATTAGGCTTTTATTATATAAGATAAGCAGAAAACTGGTCATGTATCAAACTTGACATGCAGGAGACAATAACAGTGAAATGTTATTTGTCCCTGAGTTCTACCTAAAAATGTTGTGTTTTTTCCTCAGTGCAAAAGTAACCCATGCCCATTGCAGAAAGGTTACAAAGTTCAGAGTTACAGAACTCTGAATACTTTCAAAATTGAATTACTCAGTAACTTCTTGTGAGTCTACATAAAGAATTATTTGTACCATTTCTTTTGGCAGCACTGAAATTAGTCAGAGTACAGTGGCTGCCATTTCAATGATCGACAATGATATGTTATAAAAGGTCTAGAACAAGCATGTCAAACTTGCGGCCCAGACAATATAATGGGATGTAAGAAACGTTTTCATAAAAATTTTGTAACTTAATTTTTACAATAGCGTTATACATAATTATTAATAAAGAACTACAACGTTCGTTAATGACTGATTACTATAATCGTGTTGCATTCATTTCCCTTACATGCAGATGCACCATTTCTCTCCACTAATACTAGCAGCGAATATTTTAGCAGCCGACTGCCACATCATTAGTCTTGTACTGACTTGTTTGGTGTGCGCAACAGGAAATATTTTGCTTTGGAGAATAAGAAAAATAGGTTTATTTGTGTTACACTTACTAATTTGTGCAGTTATTCAGTGTCTGGTAAGTTAATGTTCAAGAAAAAATATTAATTTTTATTGAAATGTTCTATTATTTTCTGTTAACGATTACTCATTTATTTCAGCCCTTTGTATTTCAGCCCTTTATGTCTCTATCGAAATAAACTTACGTTTTTATGAAAATTGAAGCTTTTGTTTTTTTGTGGCCCACATACACTTAAACCTTGTTTATTTGGCCCCTGTTAGCCTTTGAGTTTGACATGCTTGGTCTAGAACAGCCGTGGGCAAACTACGGCCTGCATCCGGCCCGTTTGAAATGAATAAAACTAAAAAAAAAAAAAAAAAAAACCCTTTTATGTAATGATGTTTACTTTGAATTTATATTAGTTCACACAAACACTCCATCCATGCTTTTGTTCCGGCCCTCCGGTCCAGTTTAAGAACCCATTGTGGCTCTCGAGTCAAAAAGTTTGCCCACCCCTGGTCTAGAATGATTATGTGTGACATGAAGAAGGATGCATATTGAGAATATGTAAGATTCTAGAAATAACTGTGATAGTTCCTTAAGAAACTATTTTTAGTAGATTTTTATAAGTAACCTAAATAACCTAGTTCCTGAGCAATAAATTCTTTTAATAGTTTAATCTTGGGTCACTTAAAAAAATTTTATCCACATTACTTTTTAGTAGGTGCATACAGGCCTAACTCTAAACAACTGACAGCGCTCAAAGCCCAGCTGTATAAAATGTTTCTCTGTTTTCTATAAAGCTCTCTATGTGTACTTAATGGTACTTAGGCTTCTTTGTTATGGACTGAATTGTACCCCTCTCTAATTCATATGTTGAAGCCCTAACCCTCAAATGATGGCATTTGGAGACAGGGCTTAGGGAGGCTATTAAGGTTAAATGAGGTTATGAGGGTGGAACCCTAACCCGCCAGGATTGATGTTCTTCTAAGAAGAGACTGAAGAAGGACTGTGTACAACAAGAAGGTGACAGTCCACAAGCCAGGAAGAGAGCTCCACCAGCAACTAACGCTGAGAGCACCTTCATCTTGGACTTACAGCTTCCAGAACAATGAGAAAAATAAATTTCTGTTGTTTAAGCCATTCAGTCTGTGGTATTTTGTTATGGTGGCCTGAGCAGACTAATGCATTCTTATACCTAATAACAGAGACTTACCTCGGTCCAAGGACCTGTACCATTTGACAAACTCACCTATGATGTAGGATGCAGGATCGAATCGGTCCGTGGGGCTAGAAAGAGTGGGGATGAGCCACGTCAGTGCTGCGCTCTTCTCACAGTACTGGTCCTGGATAAAACCCCGGATCTGGGCATAGTAGGATTTCCCATCTTGCTCATCAATCACAGAAACAACATCTCCAATTTGGTAATATACCCCCTGGTGGAAATAGAAGATAATCCCACATTTAAAATAAATAGAACAGATAGAGAGACCAAGATGGCGGCATAGGTAAACACTGGAGACTGCTGCCGCAAACAACCACTTCAAAAATACAACTACAAGACGGAACGGACATCACCCAGAACCACAGGAAGGCTGGCTGAGGAGAGACTCTTCAACTAGAAGGAAAAATAACAGCACACCGAGGCTCAGAGGAGGCGCAGTGTGGAAAAAACTCAGGTGCGGAGGTGCGCGCGCAAAGCGGGCTGGTGGCTGAGAGCGCGGTTGTCGTTTTCGGTCAGGGGGGAGTCTCAGACTCTGAGCTCCAGATACGGGCGAATCGCTGGGGACTCGGACCCAAACGGGAGAAGCGGGAGTGTCTGGCATCAGTTGGAAGGCAGCTTTCCCTCCGAGGTTTGCAGCGGTTCCGGGGGTTCTGAGAAGCAGAGCCTCTGGGAACAGGACTGAGGGCACCATAACGGCTCCCTCCGCCCGCCCTGTTGAGCCCGCCCCGCCCAAGCCCTGCGCAGAGCCATTTGCCGGATCGCCGCAGGCAAAGGCTAGATTAGCGCCCCCCCAGAGGACAGAAGTTTTCCCACTGCAGCAGACACAGCTGATTCTCACAGCCAGTCGGCCTGGTGGTCAAATCCCTCTAGTATTAACTACAACAATCAAGGCTCAACGAGAACAAGACTGCGCACAAAGACCACTAGGGGGTGCACCAAGAAAGCATAAAAAATGCGGAGACAAAAAAACATGACAGAAATGGAGGATATAGAGCTAAAAATCGCAATTTTGAGGGCTTGCAAAAATGTGCTAGAAGCTGTCAATAAACTTGAGGAGAGAGTCACGAAAACTAATGAGACCCTCGATGCTATGATAAAGAACCAACTAGAAATTAAGCATACACGGACTGAAATAAAGAATATTATACAGACACCCAATAGCAGACCAGAGGAGCGCAAGAATCAAGTCAAAGATTTGAAATGCGAAGAAGCAAAAAACACCCAACCGGAAAAGCAAAATGAAAAAAGAATCCGAAAATACGAAGATAGTGTAAGGAGCCTCTGGGACAGCTTCAAGCGTACCAACATCAGAATAATAGGGGTGCCAGAAGATGAGAGACAGCAAGATATTGAAAACCTATTTGAAGAAATAATGGCAGAAAACTTCCCCCACCTGGTGAAAGAAATGGACTTACAGGTCCAAGAAGCGCAGAGAACCCCAAACAAAAGGAATCCAAAGAGGACCACACCAAGACACATCATAATTAAAATGCCAAGAGCAAAAGACAAAGAGAGAATCTTAAAAGCAGCAAGAGAAAGAGACTCAATTACCTACAAGGGAATACCCATACGACTGTCAGCTGATTTCTCAACAGAAACTTGGCAGGCCAGAAGGGAATGGCAAGAAATATTCAAAGTGCTGAATACCAAGAACCTACAACCAAGAATACTTTATCCAGCAAAGCTATCATTCAGAATTGAAGGTCAGATAAAGAGCTTCACAGATAAGGAAAAGCTAAAGGAGTTCATCACCACTAAACCAGTATTATACGAAATGCTGAAAGGTATCCTTTAAGAGGAGGAAGAAGAAAAAGGTAAAGATACAAATTGTGAACAACAAACATGCATCTATCAACAAGTGAATCTAAGAATCAAGTGAATAAATAATCTGATGTACAGAATGAACTGGTGATTATAATGAATCAGGGACATAGAAAGGGAATGGACTGACTATTCTTGGCGGGGAAAGGGGAATGGGAGATGCGGGAAGAAACTGGACAAAAATCGTGCACCTATGGATGAGGACAGAGGGTGGGGAGTGAGGGCGGAGGGTGGGGTGGGAACTGGGAGGAGGGGAGTTATGGGGGAAAAAAAAAAGAGGAACAAATGTAATCTGAACAATAAAGATTTAAAAAATAAAAAAAAATAAAAAAAGAAATGTAATAGTATTTTAAAATATATTTTTAAAGCATATAAAAACTTTTTTTTAAGATGTAATATACCCCCTGGTGGAAATAGAAGATAATCCCATATTTAAAATAAATAGAACAGCACCAGAGCTATGAATGGAAACTTCCTTAATGTAAAAGCAAGAGTTTTCAAAGTGGTCAGTAAAAGGGCTCTGAGAGGGACTGATAAACTGATGTGTATATGGTTGATGCCAATTCTAAAATTGTTTCACTTTTGAATGAAAAAAATTTTACACACACACAACTTGCATCTGGAGAAAATGTGCTTATAAAAATACTTTTTCTATCACAACAATACTGTCCCTATTTTTTTGGCTAGAAAAACTGAGCTGTAGAAGTGCTGCTAAGTGACTTGCTGCAGCTGAGGTTCCTACACTAGCTCAGCGGTCTGTTTCTATACTGGCTTGAAAATCAGTGCTTATCTGGTGAAAATATGCTCTATATACCTTCCTCCTCAACCATCAATTAGGGAAAAGAGATACTACAAACTGAAGCCAAAGAAATGATAGAAGCTCTTCTGATTGTAATAGGTCTTCAGGGTAGGTTTTTACCCTCAATTTACCATACCTTTCCCCAGTCTCACTGGCAGCTGTCTCCTCCCTTCCTCTTCTCTGATATTCTCTCACAAGACAGTTACTGGTATTTCTGGCATTCAAGGGTTCATGTCTTATCCATACTCTACTTCATACCCAACTAACTAACCTGTGCATATTTTGTGTTTAGAACCCTTATAACTCTGCCTCTGCCTTCTACCCTATGTCCTCTTCCCTGGGTCTTGAACTGGAAATAATCTCTCATTTGAACATCCATAATAGCTGATCCAAATATTTATGACACTCAGCACTTCCTTAGGTGGGTGCAGGAACCAGCCTGCAAGGGTGATTCATTGCTGCTTCCCTCAAAATAGGGCCTTGGCAACAGATAAGCTGCTGGGGTGCGCACCTAAACCACAAAAATGATTCTGAGAAAATATTTCCAGTAACTGAGTTGTGACATGAGCACCTGACAGACCAGGAGTTTCTCCTGGATGCTTTATCCATATGTCCGAGGGTGACCGTTGCATCTGGATCATTATGGACGGGTAGAGTCAATGTGGGCCACATTCCCCTACCTGCTGGTTACTAACACATGGCACACAGTAATAAATTACTGATACTTGCAATAACAGGTCTCGTGCTTTCCATAGACACATGCCTAAAAATCATTAGTACATGAAGTTCTTAGCTTAGTCAGTTGCTCCTGGACTTAATCTGTAAACTCTGTGTTTAGCTGTGAAAATAACGCACACATTTGAAAATGTGATGATGATAATTGTTCCTATTCACTGAGAGTTAGGTGCTTACTCTCACTTGATATACATGATCTCACTTGACCAAATGAGTAGTTTCTATTTACAATCCCTATTTTATAGAATCTATATAATATAGATGAAGAAACATCAGAGAGCCCTGGCCAGTGGTGCTCAGTGGTTGGAGTTTCGGCCCTTGCACCGAAGGGTCATGGGTTTGATTCCCAGTCAAGGGCACGTACCTGGGTTACAGTTTAAATTCCCGTCTTGGTCGGGGCATGTACGGGAGGCAACCAATTGATGTCTTTCTCACATAGATGTTTCTCTCTTCCCCCCACCCCGTTCTACTCTCACTAAAAACATTATATATATATATATATCCCCTCAGGTGAGGATTCTTGGACTCCCTCTGTCTCACCATGGACTTCCAGTAGGTGCTACTCCCCACTGCCCTTATCCTCCCACTTCTGCTTAAAGGCATTTTAGAATCCCAGTGCTGACTACCCATTAGACATCCTCTAAATCCTGCCTCTGTTCTTCTCACCCTTCAGTGCCATCACATTGTCTAGGATAGCTCACTCTCATAGCTCCACACCATACGTTGGTATTTTAAAAATGATTCTCGGGATCTATGTTAAGAAATTCTCAAGATCCTCATCATATTTCAACAGGCAACTTCCCCTACCATCTCAGCTCTGAGTGAGATGTTTTATAACAGCTACCTCTGGGAGAAACAGCTTAGAGAAGAATAAAAAACACAATCACACAGACCTTCAGACCCACCCAACGTTTTAGTAGCACATTATACAGTAGGCCCAAATCGTCCCCAGTAACTCTACAGGTGTTTACCTTGTAGAAGATTGATTCTGCAGTGATTATGGTGGAAACTGACTCAGGCGCTTTGATGGGCTATGAAAAAAAAAAAAAAAGGTAAAATTATTAGCACATTCATACTGTGTATGTGTGTATATAGGCATTTTTTCCAACCATATATGAGAGTTCTGTAATTTGAGAAATACTAAATTTGTTGTGTGGTGACAAAAACTGCAAAAAGACAAATGATTTTCTGAATGTTGTTGCCAAGTGCAATATGAATATTTCCACTGCTCTTTCTGCTATCATTCGCTTAAAAATGGCTGGGAACTAGAGGACAAGCTTCTGATTATGCTGCTGAGAGCTAACACAAGCCCTTTCCGAGCTTTATTACATTTTAACATTTTAGGTATAAAAATGTATTGCCTGAGCATGACAGAAATGAAATAAAAAATGGGTGAGCACTAAGTGAGAAAGTGCTTCCTTGATGACATTTTCCGTCTCAACCTGACTATGGAACCAGCTATGACACGTGAGATATTATCAGAACCCATTTTCTAGCAAGCCTGAACTAAGGCTAAAAGAAACTTTCTTGGGAGTTCTTATTAATCTGCCACCATTCACCCACCACTGAAATCTGTTCTTAAGCTGAAATATACTCTTTTATGCCACAACAGAGAAAGCAGGCCTCCCAAAATATGTCTTGGTATCATCCTTGAAGAGTTTGCTAGAAAAATTGATACTGAAATAATTGCAGAGAATATAGTCTATCATACTTAAGAATAAAACATGTTTTAGTGATACAACTATAAATAATCAAATGAATATTTACTTAACATGTTTTGTCTAGCCAACAAATGACTCATTTTTAGAAAATTAAATTATTAAAATCTTAAATGAATTAGAGACAACTACTCTTAGTAAGAAAAGAATCCACCATCTGTACAATATCCTGGAGGCCCCTTTGTGTTTTATGAGTGGATGTGCCTTTACTGGTCAGCCAGTCGTTCCTGTTCTGAAAAGGAAATGTCACACTGAGGATTTAAAAAGCTGCCTACAACGCATTGTCCACTGCGTCTGACCATGTCCCCTTGTGTTTACAAAGATAAGGAGAACTTACTGCACTGAAAATGTGCTTGCAACCACCCCCACCACCAGTCTTTCAACAATCTGTTTTCTTACAGCAGAACAGGGAAAGGTTTAGCAAAATTTTAATTCATATTCATCAAACTGATCCTAAGTCAGTAAAATACATTTTTTTCTGGGGCTAAAATAACAAATACGTAAACAAGTTCCAGTATTATTTACTCAGATCTTTACAGGAGGAAAAAAGGGTCTCCTAGTGTCCTTGGCCATACCATGAGCCTTTGCATCAAGAAGCCAATAAGGCGCATCCCAGGCGCACTTTTCCTCCAGGCGCCTACTGTGTACCTCCCAGAGGAAAAGGAAAAAGGAAACCCGCGCTTCCTGGAAAGAGGGGAAGCCCCGGGCAAGTGTGGGCCACGCCTGGTCACCACCAAGGAGGAAGGTCACGGTGGGATGCAGGCAGTGGCAGGACACATTGCACACAACGCCATGACAGCGGAAACACACACACACACAAACACTATCCACAACCACCTTACGTTTTTTAATTTAAAAATGTGTCTTCGCCCTTTTCCTTTGGTGGAAACCTTCTTCTCGGCAGCTGGAGCAGACTTGTACTTGGTGTTGCGGAGCCGGGCGGACCTCCGGTGGATTTCCTGCTTACTCTGCTACATCAAGAATAAAAGAGAGAGGAATGAATGAACAGTGCGGGAAGGATGCTGTCCCGAGGCAGCCACCCTACAGGGGTCCCGGCGCGCGCCCCTCAGCCGGGCCTTCCCTCCTCCTGCTGGGCGACCCCGTTATCTGGGCTCCGGGAAGCAGGGCGGGGCCTCGGCGAGCATCGCCGGAGCCTCCGAAAAGTGGACGACTGTTCACGGGCACTGACAGCAGAGAAACACCCGGCAACTCATCCCTCCGCGGGGAGCTCCTGCCGCCTCTAAAAGGGCGTGAACGGGACGGAAAGACGAGACGCCCCTGACACCGGGCAAGCCCTGCAGCAGGACCCTCGGCACCCGCCTGCGCATGCGTGTGGCTAACGGGCCGGCTGGTTGCTACCCCAAATATTACCACAATGGAGGGATTCCCAAGGGTTTTTAATTTTCATGCTTCTTTAGACTATCAATTTCTCGTAAGAAAAGGTGCTTAGAATGGGCCGAGCCGGTTAAGATCTCATCGGGGTGGGGGGCGGCCCGCGGGGGGGAAGGAGGAGCTCACCTGCTTGCCGCTCCCGCCCCCGTTGCTCT